GAAAAATTATAAGTAACAAAATCATTTTTTAGTTTTACATTAATAAAAAAAATTCAATAAAAAATCGAATATATAAAAGTGTATTTAAGTTATTTTAACTTTAAACACAGATTACGCATGTAAATTCTAAGAAAAATTTGTTTATATTATTTTTATTAAATAAAATATTTATTGAGTGATAATTTTAATTTCAAATATATTGTATTAATTATTAAATATAAAAATATTTTTACTTTAAAAACATTTACTGTTATTTAATAAAAAAGTTTATTGTTTTTTTTTTAATTTCGTATTAATAATTGAAATTCGAACATTTAAAAGAAATTTAATTATTTTTAAATTAAACATCTAATACTCAATTGTAATTATATAAAGAATTTAATGAAATATAGGTTTTCTATTATTAATTTATAAAAGCTAAATTGAAATTCGAACATTTAAAAGAAGTTTAAATTTTTTTAATTAAAACATCAAATACCCTCCTATAATTAGAAAAAGAATTTAATGAAGTATTAGTTTTTATCATTTAATTATATAATGAACTCTTTTTAACTGTTTTTATTAATAATAAAACTAAAACTCGAACATTTAAAAGAAAGTTTTATTTTTTTTAAATTAAAACTTCAAATGTGCTACCATAATTTTACAAACATATGTTTTTATCATTTATTTATATAATAAGTTTATCTTAATTGTTTTTATTAACAATAAAATTGAAATTCGAACATTTAAAAGAAATTTAATTATTTTTAATTAAAACACCTAATCTCCATTATAATTTTCTAAAAGATTTAATGAAATATAGATTTTCTATTATTAATTTATAAAAGCTAAATTGAAATTCGAACATTTAAAAGAAGTTTAAATTTTTTTAAATTAAACGTCAAATGTCTATCTGTTATTTTTTTAAAGATTTATTGAAATACATAATTTCTACTATTAATTTTTATAATTATTACCTAAAGGCAAAATCCGAATTAGAGATTCTAATGGATTTTTGGAAAATAATTTTACCCCTACAATTAATCAATAAAATGAGTAGAAATAATAATTTAAATATGAGTTTTAACGAGTCAGAAGAGACTCTAAAACATGTGGATGAAGAACAGTCTAACAATAATAATTGTTGTAAACTTAAAAGAAACAATAGTGGTATGAGGTGTTTTAATGTAAATTTTATTTTCCTTCTGACATGATCTTCTAATTATAAATTTTGTAAAAAAATTTTACCCATGAATATTGGA